GGGGAAGGGGTCGAAGGCTTTAGCGTTTGCGGTTTACTTTCAATGCAAAGGACATACAAAGTTGCTTTACCTCTCGCGAAACAATGAAACAGTTGAATATCAGCCATGTGGCCCTGCAGAAAGAAGCAGGTCGTCCTTTGAGTTACAGGGCCTGCACTTCAAGGTTTGATCTATCGTTGCCTCAACCGTCGCCTCAAGCTGATTGAAAGACCCGGCAGGCAACGTCTACGATCCGAATCCGGTTCCGCTGGACTGAAATGGCATGCAGTCCTGGGTTTGCCTAATTCGACAGAGGATGGGGTTTTCTGGCTTAAGTCGTTTAAGTGTAGTTATGCATGTACGTCTGCGCTTGAGATGCTTACAAGCGGGCTGACCCTACCCCATTTTGAGTCTTGTCTGGCAGTCCTTCAACCTCTCTTAGCAGACTTCAATCCGTCGGGGGGGTTTCGGATTTAAGTGAGCATTTAGTTTATACACCCTAAGTTCGAAACCCTAAATCCGAAACCCCAAACCCTTAATCCTAACCTTCCCCCAACGGTTTGGAGGCCTGGGTTGGGAACTAAGGATTTCACAGACTTCCCGAAGACCGCTCTTTGGGGTATGCTGGGGGGTGAGGGTTTAGGGGTTTTGGGTTTAGGGATTAGGGATTAGGGTTTAGGGTTTAGGGATTTGGGTTTAGGGTTTAGGGATTAGGGTTTAGGGTTTAGGGATGAGGGTTAGGGCTTAAGGTATTTGGGGCATGATAGCGGGTAGATGCGGGGTCTAGGCAAGCCTGCTGCTCATTAATCAGTCCTAATACTATTTTGGGGGTTCCTTGTTATGACTATAGTATGATATACCCCAAAACCCTACACCCCAAACCCTAAACCCTAAACCCTAAACCCTAAACCCCCTATTCTAATTATTGAGGCCCCTGGATTAGACCGAAACCTGACGACGCGGACAGGAGTTTGATTGCCGGCTCTGGAGGGCGTCGCAGCTCCATTCCCAGGAGGGGGGTTTGATTAGGGCTTAGGGTTTAGGGTTTAGGGTTTAGGGCTTTTGGATAACAGGTTGAGGTTTTTCGGGTTTAAGGATTTTAGGCTGTATGGGCAGACAAGATCAAGTTCACAATTGTATGCTGCGAGCTGGTATTAGCTGCAGAGGTGTTGTTGTCAGAAGTGATGGTGCTGGCATCCGAGCTGAGAGACCATTCCACCACTAAACCCTAAACCCATTTCATCCCCAATCCCCCACAAACGCCCCCCAGTCTGAACCTCCCTAAGGTCTTGATGCAAGTAGCTCCTCCGGGAATAAAGCACAGACTGAAGGCAAAGGCTTGTGGGGCGGTCGAAAATTGGGAAAATGTCGAAGGATTTTTTTTTTTGTGTGTGTGTGGGGGGTTTAGGGTTTGGGGCTGTCGGGCTGTCTAAGAGGAGACTACACCGACCAGACCATATAAAACTCAAAATGCTCGAACTGGTGAGTAGCTGCATTACAGTGCCTTAGACTGCCAAGCCCCTGCCGCAAGCCCTGCGGACCCCCTCCCCAAGTCTGAACCCCAACCTCTATAGTAAAACCCTAACCCTAAACCGTAAACCCTTTATAAACCCTAAACCCTAAACACAAGCTCTAGTAAGAGTGAATTGAAGCGCCAGGACCTGGCTGCCTCCCGGCTGCAGAGTATCGTGGGAGGGGGCCTTGGAGCATAATCATACTCCTTTACCATATCCCCGAATAGTCCCCGTGATCATACTCCATCTATTCCAACACACTACAATACTTGTCCCCTTCTAAGAAGATGGATCGTCGCAGGGTTCGGAATTTATGCATCTGGGGTCCCGGTGCCTGGTGACCCGGGGTTTGTGGTTTAGGGTTTAGGGTGGGTCATCTTGTTGAGCGAAGGGTTTACGGGCGTGAGGCAGTGATGGAAGAGGTTTGCATCAACAAGCAAAATAGGTCTTTGCCGTGGCTCTGAGTGTATTCATCATCGTTGATTACGTCATTTCCGCGCAAGTATCAACTGAGCCATGGAAGTAGGGACTATCTAGCAGGCAATTTGTTGGGAAATTAAGTATAAGCACCAAGCCCGCAGACATTGGGCCCAAATTCCAACTCAGGAGAACAACTACTTCAGTCACTACTCGCAAGACGGGCGATCACCCTGGGATCGAGCCAGAGCACAAGGGATCTCCGCCAATGCGGCACCTTGGCGAGATTCGGGAGTTCTTGGCCGCGCACCTTTGATTCTTACTTGTTGTTCTTATTGCTGTAGTAGACCTATTGGTTGTTTCTCTCTTGCTTCTATAATAAAGTTCAATACACTTACATTGTGGTCTTGTTCTGATAGACCGCATTTTTTCCCAGGGCCACGAATATAGTAAGAGTTGGTGTTTGGGAGTTGGAGTTTACGGTGTCGGGCTTTGGGTTAAAGTCTTGAAGTCAGTCTATAGAGCTGGGCTCAGGATTCCGTATTTGGGTTTGTGGTTTAGAGTTTAGGGTGTAGGGTTTAGGGTTTGGGGTTTAGAGGGAGTTATAGTTTCAAGCCTCCGAGGAGAACATTGCGGCTGGCAATTCGGGTGCCACGGCGACGCTGCGGCAGTGGCAAAACTCAGATGGCCGGGTGCCCAGAGCATACCCGCATTTGTTATTTGCTCTTGGTTTGTTTTGCTCATCATTAGGTTTTCGAAGAGAAGCTGCTGCCCCGATATACCAACACATGTAGATTGTCACAGCTGCTAACTTGGGCATGTGGCTTCGGATGTCCGGGTCTGGGCCTTTTCTCACTTTGGGAAAGGGTCACACAAAGTACACCTTAAACTCGAATCCCTAAACTCTACACGGCCCTTTATAAGCCTTTTCCACAGCTGCGGATAAGTGTAGTCACTGCTGGTACGTGGTGCAGCTGCCCCTTTGGATTATGGCCAACAGCTGAGCAGGTAGAGCTATACCCCTAAACCGTGCTTGCTGCTAGAGTCACTCTTATGGCTATGGTTCGTGTCAAAATATGCCGGTGACTACGAAGTATCGGCACAAACCCTGAAGCGACAAGCCGTAAACCCGTGTCTTTAACGCAATCCGGTTCTGATGGAGCAATATTGATTAGTATTCTCAGTTGTGTATCAGTATTGCGCATTTCTAGTAATTATACTATTCCGTATCATTATTAGTGTTGTTGTTTTTGTGATTATTTAGTATTTTATTGTTTTGCTTTGTCTTCTTGCTATTATTATTGCTGCTGTTGTTGTTGTTGTTGCTGCAGTTGTTGCTCTTGTTATTGTTACTGTTATTGTTATTGAATTGTTATTATTATTATTATTCTTACTACTATTGCTTGTTGTTCTTGTTCTTGGTATTGTTATTGTTATTTTGTTCTGTCGTTGTGACTACCAGGGTTATCAGTTAGTTAGCTAGCAGTGTTATTTGTTCGTTGGCCTTCTCATTGTTGCTCTTCTTCCATGATCTCAGGGGCCTCGAGGCTTCAGACTGGTTTGACGTTTTTTTCTCGGAAGTGTTCAAGAGGTTATACATTGCTGAGGCAGAGCGCCTGCATGTAGCTAGAAGATAGGATCCGATGTGAAGGGCCCCCTAAGCAAGCATCTCTACTTCCCAGACTTCCCAGAAGCCGCAACTAGAACCCTCAAGTCGTAGGTCCGCCCCTTCACTCTAGCAGGCTTCCAGACCCTTAGGTTTCAGATTCTATTCCCTGCCAGGTATGCAAATTTTGCACGTAGTGTACCCGGAAAAAGCATGAATTGTGGGATCTTACACAGCCCCTAAACCCTAAACTTCAAACCCTGAACCCCAGCAGCGCAGTTTGCTCGTCCGGTTGAGGCCACTGCAAGAACATGATGAACTCAAGCTCTGCCCTTGGTTGCCATGACCTTTCGGGTTTGGTGTGATTCGCATATTTTGCCCTAGGGTTGCCTGAACCCAACAGCCCTGCCGAAACGGATTTGAGCACCAGGCGCCCTTGCATGCAGAGTGGGGCGCGCGAATTTTAACAGAAGGATGGAAGGCCCCAAGCTTCAGACTGCGTTCCTCCAAGCAAGAACGATGAGCTTCTTCGACAGCTTCCTCAAGAAATGTGTTAGGCCCCTCAAAAACCGCAGCTTCGAGGCACCAGCCGAGTTGGAGGTGCTGTATCTTGAGAATCCGATCAGTCCTAACATAACTATAAGGTGATGTGGTCCCTGTGCTGCGTATGGCATCGTCTAGTCAGCCGCCACCCTCTTCTAGACCTATCTGCTGCTGGAATGTGAAGAGACCCTCAAAACTCAGTCCGGCAGTGCGTACGTTTGCCTGTCTGCCTGCCCGCCTGCCTATCTGTCTGTCCGCCCGTCTGTATGTTCGTATCTTTACATGCATATGTGCATGTACGGTGTGTTGGTATGTCTGGTTGCAGGTATGTAAGGTATGTAAGAATGCAGGTATGTAGGCATGTAGGTATGTCTGTATAGGTGTATGTGTGGGTATATCTAGTTGTGTGTGTGTGTATATGTACATACACAATCAATATATATATATATATGTATATATATATATGTATAAATATAATTAAATAAATAAATAAATAGATATATATATATGTTATATGTATATATAATGTAAACATATACACAATCATACATGTATG